TTTAGTAAAGTTTTTTGTGTGCGCAGCAAGTCAGATTTGTCCCCCTTAAGCTGATTCATCCTTCTGTCACCAGCAAACATGATGACAGTCCTGGATGAAGATCAGTGGTGTAGTCTAGCCTAAAATGTTGGCTATATGATGTGTGTGTGTGTGTGTGTGTGTGTGTGTGTGTGTGTGTGTGTGTGTGTGTGTGTGTATATATATATATATATATATATATATATATATATATATATGTTAGGAACACTAGCATGTGTAAATAAAACCCTTAGCTATAAAAACACCCATCACACGTTAGGTTTACATCCTTTTTACTTTAAATCCTTTTTTTTCCCTTTGGTATGTCTCTAACATTTAGTACTTACTTTATTTCTGCCATTTTCATTATTTATTTATGACCTACAAGTAGTGGTGTAATTACTTTCATTTGTTTTCTTCATGAATTGTTTCTCCCTGATGTGACTGCATCAGTTGTTATAAAAAAGGCAAAATAATGCCCAAGCTCTGCTGCAGATAATTACAGCAAACAACAGCTAATAATCATGTAATGCTGATGCACATAGAGGGTGGTGCAGTGAACTGCTAGACTTTTTTTTTTTCTACAAAAAAGTATAGCAGTGTACGCTTCATTCACCCGCCAGTCATACACTGACTTTGCTTAGGTGATCTTGAAATGAAGGCAATGAATAAAGAAGGAGGCGACGCTGCAGTGAACCCAAACAAAGCTATTTGGGGAAAAATATACGGCACGTACTCTATACTTAACTCACACATTGCAGATGTTTCCTCTGCAAGAAGCATTTTGTGGCAAGATTATTTTGATTATTATTGCTAAAGTAATTTGAATTAGAGGAAGTCTTTTTTACAGAATACTTTAATGCTTTACAATATTTCTTAAAGAAGCTTGAATTGCTGAATCGCTATTTGATCTGTCAAATCACAATTACAAAAATTGCCTGCGAATTGAGATGAAAACCAATGAATTATAAATCGTCAATTCACTGTCAGTTCAAAGATTCACATCCCAGCCTAGTTAAAATAGCAATAGGTAGCCAAGATTAACTAATAGCATCTTTAAGGGACCATGTGGGCTATACAGGAATGTCTGAGATTTTCACACTGCTGTGGTAGAGTGGGAGAGAGTGTTTCTCTGAAGAACCTTGATGTAATTGGGTTTCAGGGCTCTTATGGGCTGGTGACCTTGTCTGCTCCAAATCCCCCTGGCATTCTGGCAAAAGCAAACTTTTTTTAAATTTATGTATTCATTTACTTTTGGAGGTAGAAGACTCTGTTACATTTTTGTGGCTACACTTAATTGGTTACTGTTTCTGTGTCTGACAAGCTTTCAGGCCCAGCATGTCAACTATGGCATTTCTTTGGCAAAGGGCTGTTTACCCTGTTGTATTATTAGTACAATTTAAAACAAAAATTTCAGTAAGGCATAGACAAAAAGATCAGGGGTGCTCCGGTTTCCTCCCACAGTCCAAAGACATGCAGTCAGGCCTAGGTGTTAGTATTTGTGTGACTGTGTATGTCTGTGTGTCTGCCCTGTGATGGACTGGCGGCCTGTCCAGGGTATTTCCTGCCTTCCGCCCAATGAGTGCTGGGATAGGCTTCAGCTCCCCCACAATCCAGAAGGATAAGCGGTTTAGATGATGAATGAATGAATGAATGAATGAATGAATGGTAGTAATGCTCAGATATACACATCATTATGTAATATATGCACATTCTGGTGGTTTCCTCGTGGGTATATGCCATATACCTGTGTGTCATGTGACTACATCACTAGTGAAGATGGATACAGGAAGGAGCTGTGCACACAGCCCTAAGAGGCACAGTGTTTAGAGTGAAGGACTGAGAGGAACTTGGAAAGTTTGACATTCTGAGGTCAAACCATCCAGAAGGTCCAGGATTTAAGTATAGCATTGTTCTCATGTCAAATGCACTGAGCTTGGTTGTTGGGGTTATGTGGAATTATTTTGTTGAAGTTGGAGCTGAAATCAAAGGAGAGCATCATCACGTAGAAATTCTTCTCTAGTAGGATCGGTTGTGGCCTGGCTTCATGTGCATTATGACTTACTGATCAAACTTCTAGCAGTTTTTTCAACCTCATGTTGGCTTTTTATTTGATGTTTAAGAATCTGCAGGTGAATGGAAGAAAACGTAAAGCTCCAGATATATATATGTGCATGTACATGCCACCTCAGCACCATATGTGTTTGGATGTACGCTGCCAAGTCCATTCAGTGGGGCCAGATCGCCACTCCATGGCTGAGTGAACCCCAGGCATTGAGCGTTTGAGGAGTGCCATTCAGCAGTACTAAGCAAGCCCAAACACTGAGGCAGAGCACAGAAGGGTGTGTTGAATGAAAATGCTGTGCTACTGTATTTTGCCCCTGATAAAATTGCAGCAGATACCTGTTAACAAAAGAGACGCTGTCTCCCTGCCACGGCCCACGGCACGGTCATATGATTTACGGCCATGACATCATCCTCTAGGGCTGCCCTCTCTTTTGTTATTGTCGTGAGTGGAGACCATTGACCACTGTGAAACGTTCAGTTTCAGCTCCCCATTATGTAATGGCAGGGGCCGGAAATAAGGCCTTCTGGACCTGTCCCAAAAATGCTGAGCTCTTAGAAGAGCTGGAAATAGTTCACTGAGAAACACCTCCTGAGCCACCAAACATCAATTAATGACTGATTAAATGAGCTTTAGATATTAAACTGTAAACAGTGGTTCCACAGTGATGATGAAGAGGTAGTTACAAGACATTTCAGCTTGAGGAGGGAGGACTTTGAAATAGTCATCTCTCCTGTTTACTCTGATATTGTCCTGTTGTCTAACGTACTTTTAAATGTAGCGTACTATATGACACTTTGGCCTTGTTTACACTTGGCATTAAGACAAGTGTAGCCGTATTTGTTTGTAATTAGCTCATTAACAAGCCCTTGCTAAACTGATGTGGGTGTGTTACAACAAGAAAACACAAAAATGTGCAGGGCAGGCAGTAATCCTGGACCAGGGTTGGGAACCTGTGTTTTAAAGGATGTTGGTCCAGGTTTTGGTTGGTCATCACAGAGTCTACTCTTTACATTCTCAGCACATTTATTTTCAAATAAATCATTCATTTATTTGCACATATATCAATACAAATGTTTAAGAAAACTTTTAGAAAGGTCTAGTTTTTTCAGTTTTTAGTAAAAGTTTTTTTCTCTAGATACAGTTTAGAATATCTGTTGTAGCGCTAGTTGTGGTTTAGACTGTCTACTATAGCTCTTGATATGGTTTACTATCAAAGCTGTAGGAAAGTGCAAGTAAGATCTGATTTATTTTGATTTTAGGCTTTGAAAATGCTATTTGAGGTTTATTACTTGCATCTGCAAACATCCATAAGGCTATCGTGTGAGCTCTGTCATTGGTTTTCTGAGAAACAATGAAACAACAAAGAGGAAACACTACGGTTGAGGTTCATGTCACCTTTGTTTTTAAAGTGATTCAGGCTACTGTAAATAGATTCTAGATGACTAGAGCTAGACATTTAAGAGGCATCATTAGCAACAACTAGCACACCCCTTGCCTCTCCCACACACTGCTCTGTGAACGAATGAACCTACTCTAAAAGTACATTGTGAATAGAGATGCATCGATGTGGAATTTCTGGATGTGATATGATAACCGATAATTCACACCTTATTTTGGCCAATAGTGACCAAGAATTGAAATTATTCCAATTTAGAAATTTTAACATTTTACTTAACTGTATGTAGGTGTTTTACTTCATTTAGCATACACTCTTTTCTAAAACCATTTGCAGCAGTATGTGAGTAGGTATAACAATTCCTGCAAGTGGAAAACGTAACTGACTACAAGAAGTGACGATGTTCATCAAGATCATTACCCAATGAGAATTTCAAAATCAGACCGATAATAATAATTACATTTTACCTTTCATCAGCATACAATATATTTTGACCAGCAATACATTGTGCTTCCCTAACTAAGTATAGATTTGTTGGATTATTATATTGGAAAATAACCAAATAGCTAAGTTTGCAAAAACACAGACGCTGGGAAACAGCTACCAGCTACATTTCAGTGTATGCATCTCCTCCAAGCTGGGCAACACATGAAATATTTAACAGTATGGGAAACATTGTCTAGTATTTGTGCTCACTGATAAGGGTATAGCAAGTGTGACCAACTTTGGTCGCAGAGGGCCAAAGCCTAGTACGGTTTGGTCATTTTCCTGCCTTAACACACCTACCAAACCTGGTAATAATTAGATGATTAGGCTTCTGTATTCTATCATGTCACTTTCTGATGCTAAGCTCATCAGTGCAGTTTTTTCCTAACATTGTACCAAATTGAGTATTTTGACACACTTAATGCTTGCCTCTGTGTTTGATTGACTTTTTGGTCTCATGATGACATGTTTCACTACCATTGACACTTCTTTGGTATGTATGGTGAGAGTCTAGATGCAAATATAATATCTACAGTCAACTTTAAACCATTTGTTAGCTGACTTGTGCACCGACTGACATACAGCTGACCAAGAAACAACTGGGCACCCAATTATAAAATTAAATTTGATCCTTTATAATGAGAGAACTTACCAGTCACCCAGTATGAACATACATACCCTCACGTTTAGCTTCATTGTTTTTTTTTTTCTTTTTTAGTTACAATGCTCTGATACAGAATAACAAATTGTCATTGTCCAGTTGCTGATCAAACTGCATGTTTTGTTTTTTAAACATAACTTGCATAATTTGAAACTTGTTTGAGTATCTATCTTTAATTTAGGCAGATTGGTTGGCTTACTGTTCTTCTTATTCCCCTGTTCTACTGACCCTGTGAAACTATTTGGGTTAAGAAGTGCTCTGTGCTATATTAGTAGCCACTTAGACTCAACTAAGAAAGAGACCTCTTTTTTCTGTGCTGAAGGTTTTTCATGTACCTAACTTATTTATTTATTTTTTTATATCGTTTTCAGGCTCTTTTTGCAGTTCTCAAAGGTGAATGTGATATCTGGAGGTGAACTTTGAGAAAATGGCTGTAGCTGAATGTCCGGATTATTTCCTACTCCACCCTAATTACCAGGTAAAAAACATGATTGGGTCTTCAAGATTTTTTTCTTTCTTTCTTAATTGTGTGCACCTGAAAGGCAGGGATTTCAGTTTCACTCTCAAAAGAAAAAGGCCTGCTATTTTCTACAGTAAACTGGCATGGTTACTGTAACAATATGTCTTTAAATGACTATTCTACAGCCTTTCACCCTATGATTTCAGAATGGCACCTGGTCATTTTTCAGTCATTTAATTTTGGATAATTATGCATGAGCATTTTTTTTTTCATTTGCTGCTTTTTCCCAGGATAGTGCACACTTACTTTCTGGTTTTGACTGGCAAAATTTATCAAATGACTATTCTGAAAGTGACTCTTTTTGAAAAATATGAAGTATACAGAGTGCCTTTTCTTACCATTCTCTCAATGTTGCATAACCCTGGTAGGTCCTCAATGGCTTATGTGCCTCTTACATTTTGTGTAATAATGTTTTTAATTATGTATTAATATTATGTACCTAGTACTATATTAACTATCAAATGTATAGCTAAATGCAAGTAATAGTTTTAGAGAGTAATTCTAAATATTTATTTCATGTGCCATTCCTAAATGCAAAGAAGATTTTATTCCCCATGCACCCCATTGCTGGTCCAGCCAAAAATAGTAGTCTATGATGTGGTCATATAGGGATTGGGATAGGGATGCCCTATTCTGTAAAGCAACTCAAAGATTGCTGAAAAAAATGAAAACTGTGCCTCAGTCAGTCAGTTGCATCACACAGCAGCGGAGTCTCACAGCCTGTTTCTTCAATCAATCCAATAAGTCCGCTGAAAATTGCTGCTACTGACAGTGTGAATGACTGTAATATTTACTGAACTCAAACAGACTCTTACACTTGGAGATGTAAATGCAAATACATGGGACGCATGTATGAGACAAATGACAATCTATATATTATTTTGCAAAATAATACATTTTACATATTCATTTGTTAAATCGGATTTTTATCACACACACAAACTATTTGGACAAAAGTATTTTGACTCGCCTCTTAATCATTGAATTCAGGTGTGTCATTCAGTCCTATTGTCACATGTGTGCAGGCACCCAGCAGTGCAGTCTACAAACATTCGTGAAAGAATGGGTCGTTCTAAAGAGCTCACTGAATTCGAGTGTGGTACTGTAATAGGATGCCACCATTGCAACAATTCAGTTCGCAAAATTTCTTAGCCCCTAGATAGGGCTGGGCGATAAAACGATAACGATAATTATCACGATATAACTTTTCCTCGATAGAGCGATAAGAAGTGTTCGCTAAATTTTCGATATAATATACCATTCTCACACTTCCACGTTTTAGCGACAGCCGTGGTGTTTTCTACTGCAAGGAAAGCGACACTTCTCTGCTTTCGCCACGAGAGGGCGCACTTTCGAGTTTTTCAACATGATTGGGGGGCGAAGAGTAAAAGAAGTCGCCAAATATACTTTAGCAACGTCTAAAACTATATTATATATTATAGATATTCCCCGTTTGAGTGGAGCGACCGGCGATCTGTTCTCCTGTGACCAAGTGTGAGTGACGAGATAAGTGGTGTAACTGTACTGTCCTACAGTGAACTCACCTCTTTCCGTACATCCTAACCAGCTTTGGCAGCGTTAAATCACATCTGCTCTTCACAACGACCAACGACTACAGCACTCAGTCATATTTTAGTGTTAGTGCATTTCCAAGCAACAAAAGTGAAAGAAAGAAGTGGGTTCATGTTAGTTACAGCCCTGATTTAAACAAAAGTAAACGAGCTAATGTTTGCTGTTCGTACTAAGTTGACGTTGTTAGGAAACTAAACAGTTAGCACATGTAACCAGGTAGCTTAGCACTCGTCACCAGACAGCTAAAAACAATCTGTTTTCTTTCTTAAATTATGACTGTTAGAAAAATTGCGGCCATGCTTTTCCAGCTGGTAAAAACAGCCAACCAGACACTTTCTCCCACTCTCCCAAGAAGTGTTTGTCATGTTCCGACCATAAATGATGTTTAAAACAGCAACTGACCACTCAGGAGCAAAAATCAGCCTTCAAACTTGCAAGAAATAACGATATGAAAAATTTTATCATGATAAGATTTTTGGCCATATCGCCCAGCTCAACTCCTAGATATTCCTCCATCAACTGTGAGTGGTATTATTGAAAAGTGGAAGGATTTAGGAACCACAGCAACTTCGTCATGAAACAGGAAAACGTAAATTTACAGAGCTGAGTTGCAGAGTGCTGAAGCACATAAAAGTCCCCAGAGTTTCAAATCTCCTATGGCATTAACATCAGCACAAAAACTGTGCTCTGGGAGCTTCATGGAATGGGTTTCCATGGCCGAGCAGCTGCATGCAAGCCTTACATCACCAAGCGCAATGCCAAGTGTCGGGTGGCGCGGTGTATAGCACAATGCCACCACTGGGGCAGTGGAAATGTATTCTGTGGAGTGACGAATCACACTTCTCTCTGGCTGTCTGCTGGATGAGTCTGGGTTTGGCGAATGCCAGGAGAACGTTACCTGCCTGACTCCATTGTGCCAACTGTAAAGTTTGGTGGAGGAGGGATAATGCTATGGAGTTTTTCACAGGTTGACCTAGGCCCCTTAGTTCCAGTGAAGGGAATCTTAATGCTTCAGCATATCAAGACATTTTGGACAAGTGTATGCTTTCAACTTTGTAGGTTCCCCGGTTTGGGGAAGACCCTTTTCTGTTCCAGCATGACTGTGCCAGAAGAGTGGAAGCTGCTAAAGCTGCAAATGGGGGGACCAACTCCATATTAATGCCTATGGATTTACAATGGGATGTCAGAACAGGTCCTGTAGTTGTAATGTGTTCCAATACTTCTGGCCATGGTGTGTGTGTGTGTGTGTGTGTGTGTGTGTGTGTCCAACAAGTAAATGCCATTCATTTAAGCATAGTATGTTTACTATGTTTACTATTTATTTTTTTTATTTATTTATATTTAAATAATATATTTGAAAAGTGGAATTGTATTAATACCTGGACTTACTAGCTAGTTAGGTTAGACACAGATAGTAACAATGTCCGAACTTGATATTTGCTGATACGCAAGGATCAGATATCAGTATCAGAAGGCAAAAAGTGTTATTGTTGCATCCCTAAAAAATAACTTTAAACCAAGCCAGATAAAAAGGCAAACAATGGCTGATAGCAGAAAGTGATTTTTTGGGGCTGACGATAGAGGTTGTCCAGTCTGATCCGAGACCAGCTCCTCGGAGCCTGTTGTCCGGCCTGAGAGCTGTGCAGATCAGAAACTCTCTTAGAAAAGACTGAGATAACGGTAGAGGGAGAGTTAGTGAGGGAGACTTGCCCCTTGTTGTGAATGTCACAGTCAGTAGATTTAGGGCCTGAGCTTGAATGAAGAAGAAACAACAATGAATGGCCGTGACATGGACGCGCATTCCTTTGGGCTGACAACATCTAATTCACATGGTGTAACCTGACGTAAGAGCATCTAAACAAAGGATTAACTAGCTTGTTTTGAAGGGCTCTTTTAGCCATTGTCCCCGTCCACGTGCAGTGGTTCAAACCCAGTGGGAAATATCAATCAGCAGCATCATCCCGCAGAGAGCTGGCTGTGGTACAGCCTCTTTATTTGACCGCGGCTTTCTGCTGCTTGTTTTTCAAACCCCCTTTGGGATGCTGCTGAAGGCAAAAAGGCATGGCTAGTTTAATATGAAATGCTTGTTTCTTCATACCTATTGATACTTTATTCTTTTGAAAAAATTGAGACTTGGTTAAAGTTATGCAGTGTCAAAATTTCATATTTAACAATGGCACTGTGAAAAGGTGATTTTTGTTTTTGCACTGAATTAAATGAAGATATTTCTTCTCTGTGAGTGATTATGTAACTGAGAGTAGTGGGAGTCTGGGCTCTGGTCCAAGATTGGGCTTTGCCCTGTCAAGTTCTATAGAGCAGAATTTCCCCGACTGCTGTCTTAAAACGACTGCAGATTTATTAAAATCTCTCTGCTTCCTTTGTTATTTTTGAGATATTTTCATCTGTCAGGTGACTGTACAGTTTTTTGTGTGAATCATTCAGTGATTCATACCACAGGAAGTGAGGAAAACCAGTTGAATTTTAAGACAGGTCTGTTGGAATTAAAAGTTAGTAAAGTACACTAGCTGAAAGGAGTGTTTTCATACCCCAGTCTAAGTAGATGTCAAGCCAATATTGGTCAGAGGAGCAGCATGTTTGCCAGCTCTTGAAGATTTGCTCCTGAAGTGTGGGTTTGTCATTAGTGTGACAGCCATGTTGGCTTCATCCACACACTGCTTAAGCCATTAAAGGTCCTCCTCCCCGGACACATCAGCAGTCTGAGAGGCGTAAATTTTTCGCCTTGAGTTTTATAGATGTTTTCAGACTGAATCAAGTGGAGTTTTGGCACCATGTGGTTCCTGTTCCTGGAAGTCAAACTTCTAGTTGTCTGTATTTCTTGGAATTGGGAGATTCAGGACCTGGCTCTTTTATTTTGTTGTCTTGAGGAAAAGTTTTGGTTTGGGCTGAATTGAAATGGAAGCACTATTCACTTCCAGCAAAGCTGACAAAAACAGCACTGTGCTCATTTAAAAAAAAGGCAAAATGGGCCTGCAGCTCTGCAATTTATTTTTTCTTCGTTTCACAGAGTACTGATTTTCAAATATTAGGAAAAAGAGATTGCAGGACTGCATTTAAAATGATTTGAATTATGTATTTCCATTGCCAAATAAATAATATTTGGGGTGGTTCTACCAAGCCAAAATGATTGCTCTGTTTCCACTGCTTGTACCATGCTTAGAGCATATGTAGATCCAAAAAGATTGAATGTGTTCACTTGTATGTTCAGCAGTTCACACCTCACTCCTACCTTCCCAAATACATGCACACTCTGTAATCCTTCCTCCTCTGGAATGCACAGTAGCCTGACCTTTGGGTAGGGTTTGAAGCTAAGCTGGGCCAAAATGTAACCTTTCTGTGCAGTAAGAGGGGGTATATGAGGACTGCTG